GTCTGGGTGAGTCATGGGAGTGTGACTTCTGGGAGTGTATCTGGTCCCTGGCCCCTTCCTCTTTGGAAGTTTCCCTCTCTCTGCTTCCTGGCTCCCATGAAGTAGGCAGCTTTCCTTTGCCATGCCCTTCTGCCATATTTCTGCCTTGGAGCCAGCTGACCATGGACTGAAAGTTCTGAAACCATGAACTAAAAACAGAGAAAGATGCTGGGGATTTAGCTTAGTGGCACCACACCTGCCTTGCAAGCGCAAGGTCTTGAGTTTGATCCCCCTTACCAAAAGAACCCAAAAACAACAACAGCAGCAGCAACAACAACAACAACAACAACAACAACAAACAGAAAGATTTGAGCAGAAAGATTTGAAAAAAACCTTGCAGTTTGGCCAGAAAGGAAATGTGCATAAAGTCAGGAGTGAAGGAGGTATAATTGTTGAAGAGATTGGCACCATTAAAAAGAAATTAAATATTCTGCACTTGAGCCAAGATAAACCTTTTCTCCTTTAATTGTAGATGTCACTTATTTTATTCTAGCAATTGGGGAAGCTGACTGATACAAAAAATTGGGACCTAGTACTGAGGTCATTGCTGTGAGTTTACCTGACCATGTGGTTCAGAAACCTTTAGAACTGGTTTGTAGGAGGAGTCAGGAAAAGTTTGTAGATGAGGGCTGGAGAAGCCCTGGAATGTTGTAAGCAGAGATTGAAGGGCAGTTTTGGTGGGAGCCAGACCAGAATGCTGACAGGAATGTGGACAGCAAAGACTTCATGAGCTTTCAGAGGAGAACAAGGATGCTGCCAGGAATTGGACTAGAGGCCAGTCATGTTACATTCTGGCAAAGAACTTGTCTACACTTTGTCCATGTCTTTAGACTTTTCAGGAGTCTCAGTTTAAAAGTGGTAGATTAAAGGGGCTGGGGATTTAGCTCAGTGGTGCCTCCACCTGCCTTGCAAGTGCAAGGTTCTGAGTTTGATTCCCAGTATTTAAAAAAAAAAAAAAGTGGTAAATTAATTAATCTGGAGGAGGAAATTTCAAGATGGCCAACAATGAGAACTGTAAGCTAAAAACAGAGCAGAAAGTTGAAAAATTTGCAGTTTGGCCAGAAAACAAGTGTGTGTAAAGTTAAAGGCAAAGAAGATATGATTATCAAAGAGATTAGCATCATTAAAAAGAAGCCAGATACTTTTCATTTGGACAATAAGAAAGATACCTCCAAGGCATCTCAGGAATTGACCAAATCCTACCAATCACAGGCTCAAGAATGGACAAGCATAAAGTTGTTTGAAAGATTTTGCTTTGAGAAGAGAGCCCCAGGGTGCCCTGCTCACTCCAGGCAACCTCAGGAAGTACTTCCCCATGTTCAGCCATTCAGGCACCCAAAGGTCACTGCAGCTGTGGTCCAAGGGAGCCTGGCTACTGCCCACACTGGCAGCAGACTTGGGCATAGTATGTGTGATGCTTGTTTTGCAGGCATGCAAAATGCAAGAGTTGTCAGGTCATGGAGGCTTCCACCCAGATTTCAAAGGAAGGCCTGGAAAGCCAGGCACTAAGGGACAGGGTCAAAGTCTATACCAGGGGCCCTGGAGAGGGTGATGCATGAATCTGTGAGGGTGAAACTGAAGCTATAGTGGAGACTATAGGAGGTTGGAGCTGACAGGAACATCTGCTGAGGAAAGCTGCAGCAGTGATTAGAACCAGCTGGAGAGAAAAGCTATGTAGGCTGAAACTGTCAAGGCTGTGCAATCTCTTTGAAGCTCACATCTCTCTGCTATATGCTCTGGATGCCAGTAATGGATCTATGGGATTAATATTTTCCCTGCTGAGTTTTGGTCTTGCTTTGGTCCTATTCCTTTTTAATTCATCTATTCTTCTCTTTTAGAATGGGCATGTTTACCTTGTGCCAATATATCTTGGGATTATTTAATTATTTATTTATTTATTTATTTTTTTGGTGCTGGGGATTGAACTAGGGACCTTGTGCTTGTAAGGCAGGCACCGGAACCACTGAGCTAAATCCCCGGCCCCAGGATTATTTAATTTTAAAAAAATTTTACCGGGGTGCATAGCTAAGAGTTGTCTTGATTTGCAAAAGAGACTTTGGACTTGGACTTTTGAGCAATGCTGTATGGGAACTGCTGAGACTTTGGGGAAGGAATTAGTGTGTTTTCAGTTGTATGCAGGATGTTACATCTTTTAGATGGAAGTATAACCTTGTTGTAGGAGACATCCCTGCCCAGTACTAGCAGGCTGTGATTGGCACGTGCTTCTTGCCTTCCTTCCATAATTGGGCTATACTGTTTTATATCAGGAGTCAGACTGAAGCCCTACTTGACTCAAACGGGCATGTCAGATGGAGGAGTGGGCAAGTATAGCCCCTCCCTCAATGGCTGCCATGGAAACCAAGGCCCTGCTCTGTGAAATGGCAGGGCTCTGCTGAGTTACGTGCAGCTGAGGTGAGCATGACTCCAGTTAAAACCCTCTACCCTGAATTATGGCTTCTCACTGACCCAATGGGTTGCATGCTATTTGCACCCTGTCCCAGTACCGGTTTGTTCCATCCAAGCAAGATAAGCAGTGCTTATTCCCTAATAGCCCTGCCTGGCATCATCATGCCAGGTGATCAGCAGTGTTTCACTAGATGCCTTCAAAGCACACCCTGCTCCCTATTCCTTCCTGCAATTGTATTCAATAAATACTGCATGTGCTTGGAGGCCTTTGTCTTTGCTGCCATCAGCCGCACTGACCAGCACCCAAGACCCAGCTTCTCCACTCTAAGTCTCCTTTCTGTCTGTTCTTGAATTCACCTTGTGCTGTGGTGGCTCACAGGCCAGGACCCACCGCAGAGGTCCCCACTCCCTACACCATGTTATTGTGTTGATTTGGAGATTAAGTATGGTTGAAGCAGATGTGACAAGGTGTCGGGTGGACAAAGGGTGGACTTGTGATGGTTAATCTTGATTGTCAACTTGATTGGAAGGTGAGATGCCTAGGAGCTTAGTAGAGCACAGTTCTAGGTGTGTCTGTGTGGCTCCTGGTGGGTGGATCATGACCTTGGGGACTATCTGGTCCCTGACCCCTTCCTCTCTAGCCTTTTTTCCCTGTCTCTGCTTCCTGGCTGCCATGAGGTGGGGAGCTTTCCTTCACCAGGCCCTTCCATCATAATGTTTCTGCCTTGGACCCAGCTGATTATGGACTGAAACTTCTGAAACCATGAGCTAGAATAAACCTTTACTCCTTTAAGTTGTGTATGTTGGATATTTTGTCCCAGCAATGGAAAAGCTGATCAATACATTCTCTAATTTTTTTCTTTTGCCCATCTAATTTGTTTTGCTCTGAAATCTTGTTAACTAATCTGGTATATTTTTCGTCTCAGAAATTATAGTTTTCATCCTTAAAAGTTATAGTTATACAGTTATAACTTCTTTTATCTGCTAATTCTTAAACTCTATATTGATTCCAGGTTGGCTTCAATTCATTCATTTTATTCTTCATTATGACTTATTTTTTTCCTGCCTCTGTCCAGGGCAGGTAATTTTTTATTTTATCTCAGACATTGTGAACTTTCCTTCATCAGATGCTGGATATTTTTGTATTCCTGTAAATATTCTTGAGCTTTGTTCTAGGATGCAGTTAAATTTCTTTTCTTTTTTTTTTGGCACTGGGGATTGAACTTGGGTCCTTGTGCTTGCAAGGCAGGTGGCGGAACCACTGAGCTAAATCCCCAGCCCTGCAGTTAAATTTCTTAGAAACAGTTTGATCTTCTTGATTCTAAGATTTGATGAGTAATACCAATGCAGTGTTTGTTCTAGGGCTAATTTTTCCCACTACTGAGATAAGAATCTTCTGAGGACGCCACCCAAAGTTGTGAATTATGAGATTTTCTGTATGGCTGGTTGAAATAGACATTTTTCCTGGCTCTGTATGAGCTCAGACTACTGTTCCCATTAATCATTTCAGGTGGTTCTTTCCCCAGTGACAATGAGTCTTCTCTCTTAGGCACTGGAAATGTCACAGATGTGCCCCAGCATGTGAGAAAAGATAATTATGGCACCAGGGCCTTTATCAGACTTCCATGGCCCTCAGACACTCGCTCAATGTGATGCCCTGCTCCACTACCCTGTCCACTGCTTCATGTTTCTGAAGTTCTGCAGTCAATGCTTTTTAAAGTATAACACTTGCAATCCTCTTCATATACAATTCTGAGTTTTCTGAGGTACAGATTGCTTGTTCTCTTCTTGTAAATCTGAACTTTTTTTTTTTTTTTTTTTGGTACCGGGGATCGAACTTGGGACCTTGCCCTTGTGAGGCAGGTGCTGGAACCACTGAGCTAAATCCCCGGCCCTAATCTGAACTTTTTATTAGTGGAGCTAATAAGCTATCAATGTTTTTCTAAGTATTTAATTATTTTGATTTTGTAAGGTTTTTTTAGTCAGTATTTTTTTTAATGCCTCAGACATTTGTATGGACCCTGAACAATCACCTAAGCCCAAGGTATGACACCTACAGAGCTCATGGGTTGTAGCAGTAGCAGCGGGAGAAGGGACAGATTGGACAGTGAGCATTGGCAGTGCTTGAGCTGCTCTTGATTGAGGGTGAGAGAAAAGAAAGTAGGGGAGTCATGGCCCATTGCCCGGCTGCCTTGAGCACAGCCGTTTGCAGACATGGACAATCGGGAGAAGGCAGTCATTGTATGATGATGGGATGAGGAGTTCCATTTGGGACAAGAGGACCACTACTATCCTGCCAGAACTTGGCCAAATTCCCCTCCTTCCTTTAGAGCACACATCCTCCTGGTTTTGCCTAGAAGTCAAGTGTCTCTCCTGATAGTGTTCCTGTTTCAAAGACCATATCCTAGGAATGTGGTAACAATCCTTCGATAAATAAGGGAAATACCCATCTGTGGAATAAATAGTCCCTAGAGGATATTGTACCAGAGAGGGATGGTGAGCTGGGTTCTTTTTGGTTTCCTTTCTTCTCAAAGTACCTTTATTTTCCTTCTCAGCTTTTCACGCAAGCTACCAGTGCCACCTTTGGTGATGTCATGCTCCAAAGGAAGCTGGACTCAGAAGAAGAGGCTGCCTGTTTCTACACGACAAGGACCACCAGAAGTGCTGTTCCCCAAAGAGAAGGACTGGCCTAAAGATGATGATGAGGAAGACTATGTCCTCCAGGATCCAGATCAGGGCCTGGATTCCCTGCCTCAGCCTTATCGAATGATCAACAAGCTGGTGAACCTTCTGTTTGATCGGTCATGGGAACTTATTGAAGAAAGGGTTGCACTGAGGGAAGCCGACAGCGCCCGGACCCAGCCCACTGTCTACACTCCGCTCACAGGAATCCAGGTATGGAGCAGGCATTCTGGCTTCTCAGTACAGTGTTAATAAATGAAAACACCTGCGTGTGCCAGGGCACATATCCTCCTGGAAACCTTCAGTGGACAACACAGGTGGATTTGGGGAAGATTATTAGCACACTGACACTCATCAAAATAGATCTGGTAACCACGTGGGGAAATTGGGCATTGTGGTTGATTACAGATTGTACAGAGGCTTTTTGTATTCAGCTACTGGTACTGGAGAATCTTCCTTAAGGCATTAATTCGTCTGCTGTCTTGCTTGATGGCTGAGAGTCCACCCATGGCTCAGCTCCTATTCTGCCCCCTGTGCCCTGGGAGACTAACGCACCGGGCCTATGGCCATATTTAGTGTTGTGAATGTACATCTGTTCTCAGCCTCTTTGTTTTATTTGGCCTCTTTTCCCTAAATGGGAAATGCTGTGAATGTCTTAATGCTTGGGCAAGAGTTGTAGATCGGCACTCTGTTCAGGATGATATATCTAGAAAGAGCCCTTGATCCTCTTTGCAAGGTTACCTCATGATCCCTGAAGCCAGTGACAGCTGAGATTAGTTCCTTTTCTCTTTGCTTTTGTTTTCACAGATCAACGAAAGACCCAATTGTATGGCTATGTCACAAGACTATGTATTTATTGGAGGAGCCAAAGGATTCTCAATCTATAACCTGTACAATGCTGAAAGAATATATGTTTGGGAGAAACTTAAGGTTGATGTCACTTCCATCTGGGTCACAGATTTAGGGAGTGAAATACTTATTGCTTCTGTGGATGAACTGGGTATTTGTTCTTCATCTTCCTTTTTAGCCTAATTTAACAGCTTTTAGATTGTTGAGTTTAATCTTCTCTCTGGGTCTGAGTGGGTCCAGGCATATAGTGTTCTCCCTGGTCATGTAACGAATACCTGCAGAAAGTGTATGGCATGCCAGGCACTATTTAATCCTTACAGAAATTAATCCCTACAGCAGTCCTAAGAGAGAAGTGCAGTGTACTACTCCTGTTCAGAAGAGGCATCCAAGGTCTAGAGGTTATGTAATGCACTTGAGGTAACATGGAAAGTGGGTGCCACAGGCAAGCTTCAAACCAGGCAGGAGGCCCTGGCACCCACATCCATCCAGCACCCAGCAGTCCTGCCTCCCATGCAAACCAGAGCTTGCTCTTCTCCGTAGCCTTCCTGGGGAGTATGGCATAGAAACCATGATCCGTGGCCTGGGTAGGTGAACTGTTCCTGCTGTTTGTCCCTAAACAGGCTGGGCTCCCTCTAGCATACCCTTAGGTGTGGGCAGCCCGTGCTACTGCCCTGGCTTTGGGGGCTTCCCTACTTTGGAGGGATGAGAAGGCAATGGCAGCACTGGCCAGGGAGGGAGGTGACCATGTGATACTGGGCAGGAGGGCAGAAAGCTCCTGCTGAGCTAGGTTATGCGTGAAAGCAAGCCTCTCCCCAAACAGCAGCCAGCACAGGCCAGCACCTCGAAGCACTCCCAGGCAGGAGTCTAAAGTAGTCAAAGCCAAGGCAGACAGACCAGGAAAGATTGCTTCCTTCATTTAGGAAAGATTATCAAGGTCTGGGCCAAACCAGGGGCTGCTAACATGAAAAGTGAAAATGCACTGTTGTTATGTAAGATGTTCCTATTAGTGGACGTGAGATGAAGGATATAAGGGAACTTTTGGTACTAATATTTTTTTCAACTTTTCTATAAACATAAAATTAGCACAGAATAAAAAGCTTTAAAAATGAGAGGGAGAATATGATGGAAAAACTTAGTGAGTGATGGAATATGTGCACAGGGCGGGGAGGTGAAGAGTATCTCAGCAGTGAGGAGTAAGTCCTCCTCCCTGCCTCAGGTCGCTGGGTGGATGACAATGTCATTCCTTGATAGCAGTGACAGGAGACAGGTTTTGAGGAGCTTCAAATTCTACCTGAGCAAATACAGCCTCGAGGCACCTGTAGGACTCCCTGTGGGGGGTGCCGCTGCTCAGGACTTTGGGCTACAGCAAGGATCGTAATAACCACAGTGTATTATACTCTTGGTTTTCATGTCTATGCAATCCTCAGTCGGACAGACTTGAAGGCCAACAGTCTTGTGTCCCTAGCACAATCATTGGCATAGAAGAGGTGCCCATGCATCTCCATTAGGCTGAGTCAGGCTGCCACCCCCTGTGGCCAGATGCCTCAAGAAGGCCTCTATCATGGGCTCGGGGGGGGGAGGGTTCTGGGTATCTGGGAGGCACCTGGAGAAAAAGGTAAGAAGTCATGGTGATACGGGCTGGGGATTTAGCTCAGTGGTGCCACTGCCTGCCTTACAAGTGCAAGGTCCCGAGTTCAATCCCCGGTACCAAAAAAAAAAGAAGTCATGGTGAGGATGATTGTACATTGGAGCCCTTAGGTTAAATGGGACCTGGAGTGATGGAATCAGTTATTAATTCAGCTAAATGAACTGCATGAGGAGTGATTGGAGTTGAGGTACTTGGCCAGGTAGATGATCCTTTCTCTCAAAGACTCTGAGGCTGGGGATTTAGCTCAATGGTGCTGCCACCTGCCTTGGAAGTGGAAGGTCCTTAGTTCAATCCCCGGTACCAAAAAAAAAAAAAACCAAACTCAAAAACTCTGAATTCACAAAAGGATTACAGTGGATAGCAGTGTGGACCAGGAGGGATAAGATGCCAAACAGGTGGCTGGGACTCAAGGGATGGATTTGTGGCCAACATGCTTACAGAGAGCTTCAGGAGAGGCAGGCAGGGCTGGGCGGGAGGACAGGGTAGTGTTCCAGGGGAGCCTGGGCAGCACAGGCATGGGGGGTGGGGAGGAGGATCCATATGGTAATTCAGAGAGTCCGATAGCAAACCCCATGCTTCTGTGGCTCCCTTGTCTTACGTTCTCACTGGCTCTTCTGTTTCAGGTATCATCAGACTGTTCTACTTGTATAAGGATGGTCTGTTCCTAGTCAAAGCCATCAACGAAGTGGTGAGTTCTGCGTGTTCACCTTTAGCTGGGAAACAAATCAAGCTCACTTACTCAGAAGGCAACGCTAACTCTCCTATAGCAGAAAGAAATAGACCCCTCCCTAGTCAGAGCCTCTTCCAAAATACTCAGTCCAAAGAGGCCGTCCCTCAGGTATGCAAGCTGAGTGCCAGTTGTCAAGGGAAGAATGTTACTAAGGAACTTGAGTCCAGACTTTTCTCTTGAGCATCGGACCAGCATCTGCATGAAGAGCTGAAAAGTCCCTGCATTTTCCAGTTGGTTTCACATTGCTATTATTGCCAAGCCCATGCTATTCTCTTGCTTGGGATGCTTTCCTGTCTACCTACCCATACCACGTGTGCTTCTTAAATCTCTGCCATTCTTCAAGACCAGCACAGACCTTTCCTTTTCTGAGAACTTTCCTTCATATGCCTAAGAAGAGTTGCTCTCTCCTTCCTTTGTGCCACCCCCAGCCAGAACACAAATTCTCTTACCTGGGTCAGACTCTTTTTTGTGTGTGGGTGGCGGTACTGGGGAAAACCTAGAGTCTTTGCACTAGGCCACATCCCCAGCCATTTTGTTTTGTTTTGTTTTTTGTTTTTTGAGTCAGAGTCTCCCTTTGTAGTTCAGGATGGTCCTGAACTCACTGTGTAGCCCAGGCTGGCCTTGAACTTGAGGTGATCTTCCTGCCTCAGCCTCCCGAGTGCTGGATTACAGGTGTGTGCCACCACGCCCGGCTCCCAGTCCTTTTTTATTTTGAGTCAGGGTCTCACTGAGTCACCCAGGTTGGGCTCAAACTTGTAGTTCTTCTGCCTGAGCATCCTCGAGTGCTGAGACTAAGACCATCTTCTCATAATAATACATTAAAAAAAAATCTTCAATGTCACCTTTGGAAGTTGCTAGATTAGAGCACAAATTTAGTATTCTGAAAGCTAACAAGGGAAAGAATCAAGGATTTATCTTCCCTTCCCCAAATGGGCCATATTTCAAGGTAACCCAATAGTGGGTGATGGGAAGATATTCGTAGAAGAATTCTGACAGAGGCAGAAAGGATGATGGACTTGAGCTATCCTCAACTGTACCTATTTGCATAGTGACCACCAGTGGCTGATGGGGAACTTGACAGTTAATGAGTCAGAGCCACAGCACTGGTTCTCAGCTACCAGCCTTAACGTGGCTAGATCAGAGACGGCTTGCTATCCAGGGCCTCAGAAATGATGCAATGGGAAAGACACAGCACCAGCCCTGGGGACACTGCAAAACAACTGAACTTAAATTTAATCAGCCTCAGATCTAGTCACCACCTTATAGGAAGTACAATGGACCCCGTGTTGCAATTAGTTCAACCCAGAATGTGGAGGAAAGGTCATGTTTTCTGCAGCAAATAAATGGCAAACAGGAAAACAAGTGGGGAAAGAATTATAAATTAAAAGACCTGTGGGCCAGGGATGTAGCTCAGTGATGCGGCACCTGCCTGGCAAGCTCAAGGTCCTGAGTTTAATTTCCAATACTGGAAAAAAAAAAGAGAGAGAGGTACATGGAATACATGGGCTTCATTTAGATCCTGAGTTGAACAAACTAATTACAAAAGGAAAGTGAAACACAGATTGAATATTAAATGGTATTTAGGAATTATTGCTAATATTTTAGGGATTTCGAAAGGCAAAATAGTAATTCATTGAGTTGGGACTGGTGATAAGTAAAATCAGATTTGTCATATTGAGAAATGGGTTCTAGGGATTCATTATGTTATTTTCTCTCTTTATATTTGAAACTTTCCATAACATCAAGTTGTTACTAAAATATATAATTTAACAAGTTCTCCTTAAATAAATTAGAGAGTTTATCAACTTAACTTGTCTAGCCACCCATTTTGCTAGTAGTCTTTAAGCTCCTTCAAGCATAACCATGCACATGGGGACTCTCCTTTTTTTTTGGTACTGGGGATCGAACTCGGGACCTTGTTCTTGCAAGGCAGGTGCCGGAACCACTGAGTTAAATCCCCAGCACATGAGGACTCTCTTAACATGCCTGACACTTGGGTGTTGTCACACCAGGGTCATATCCAGGCTGTAACCTCGATGGAGCCCTGCATCTGGCAACCACCAGTTTTCAGTGTCATACAGAACTGAATGCGATTCCATTGAACTATCACCAGCATAGACTTTAGGTTTGCAGACCTAACCCAGGTGATCTATTAGCAGGCCACGAAGCACCGGAAATGAGTCTAAAAAGCTTTTGACAGAAAATTGAGCCCCAATTCTCTACATTCCATCTCGTCTGATTCCTGCCCACGGATGGGGAGTATGAGGCAGTGGGAGGCACCTTTTCCTGTCCCAACCTTGCAGAGGATCAGTGCTCTGGTGTGAACCACAGAAGGCCCTGAAACATGTGTTTTTCTCTGCGGTTCCTATGCTGTCACATCTCTTTTCTTTTCAGGATGACACCAGCAAGCAGCCCACCTGTGTGAAGATGGAGATCTCCCAAGGCGGGGACTTCGCAGCCTTCCTGCTGCAAGGCAAGGTCACCCCAAGGCAGTGGAGAGGGTTCACATGTGCCCCCTCCAGATGACTGCTCTAGAAATTGTGCTAGAGTCATAGAAGAGCTGCAGTAGCAGGACAGAGTTCCCTAGAACCCTCACCAACCGTTGGTGTTGACACCAACATTTATACCAGACCAAGTCAACAACCTTGATACAGTACTATTAACTCTTACTTTTTTAATTGTTTATTTTTTATTTTAGTTTATGAGTACTCAATGTTTATATTCCTTGTGGGCAGTTGGTACATATACGTAACATATCTTAATCCCCTTTTTCATCCCCTTTGCCTTCCCTCCTTCCCTCTAAAACTATTATTAACTAAGAACTATTAACCACAGATTTTGTTCCTGATTTCATCAGTTTTTTTTCACTAACATAATTTTTTGCTCCAGGTTCAATCCAGGATACCATGTTGCACACAGCCGTATATCACCTTACTCTGCTCCTGTCTGTGAGCTTTCTTTATTGTTCCTGGTTTTTCATGGCTGGAATACTTTGGAAGGGCACCAGTCAGCTGTTTTGTGGAATGTCTCTCAACTTCAGTTTGTCTGAAGTTTTTCTTATGATTCAGCTTGCGCTAAGGATGTAGGGAGGTCCTCTCATTACGTCATATCAAGGGGCATCAGATAGCAGCGCGACTTACTTCTAATATTAAACGTCCATCACTCAGGTTCCTCTACCTCAGAGCTGCTATTTTTCCTTTCCTTTCTTTTCATTTCTTTTTTCTTTTTCATGTTTTTAGTTGTTGGGGGTTTTTGGGGGGGTTTTTTTTGGTACCAGGGATTGAACTCGGGTCCTTGCGCTTTCGAGGCAGGCAATGGAACCAAAATCCCTGGCCCTTTAGTTGTTGTTTTGCTGTGAAGTGTAGGGTCTTGTAGTGTTGACCTCAATCTCCTGGGCTCAAGTAATCTTCCTGCCTCACCCTCCTGAGTAGTTGATTATATAGGCACATATCATCACACCCAGATTTACTTTTCCCTTTCTATGCTCTGTAAGGACCAGGTTACTAAGTCTAGACCATGCTCAAGGGGAGATGATTTAGATGCTTGTTGGAAGCAGGAGAATCAAAGAATTATGGGACATATGTTAAAGTCACTATAGTAATTAATAAACATTTCAGGGGAGATAATTTGAGATGATGTATTCATGTTTCTGTTGTGGTTTTATTTTGTTTTGAAACAGGGTCTCACTATGTAGTTCAGGCTGACCTCAAACTTGTGATCCTCCTGCCTCAGCCATCTAAGTGCTGAGATTCCAGGCATGCACCACCATGCCTGGAGAAACAATGTAAATATCCTATTCCCTGTCAAATTCTGCCCAACAGTCTAAGCATTCATCATCCAATCTTGCCTGTGTTAACAGGACATAGTTTATTCAAATGTTTGTTGTCTTGATTTTCAACTTCTGAATATTTAGACTAAATGGGCCACTATTTATATTCTTTCTCAAAACAATAGACATTTTTTTAAGCTGGCCTGATGATTCTGCTTTTTTTTTTTAGTACCGGGGATCGAACTCGGGTCCTTGTGCTTGCACAACAGGCGGCAAAACCACTGAGCTAAATCCCCGGCCCCTGATGATTATGCTTTAAGGGAATATTTAGGCAGATCTTACACCAGGAACAGTAACCTTTCCCAACTTTGCAGATATTTAATCTAGAAGTAGAGCCTTCTACAACAAGATAAAGTCCCACATTCGCCCCATACCTTGTCTTCTCCTCAAACATTGGTTGGCAGAATTCCGTGGGGCATCTTGCCCAATTCTGACCTGGCCACGGCCCCGTTCTCTCTCATTGCTTATACATGTGCCACCTCCCCTGCCAAACAGTCAGGGAAACGTACTAGGACTTTCTGCCCCATGGTAGGCAGAGCACTTTGGTCCACAACTGTGTGAGAGGCCCATGTCCCCTAGATGGTGGTGGCTAGAGGCCACAACTCTCCAAAGTTACTTGGCAGGCGAAACTTGTAATCACACTGGCAAGAGAACATCGACTTCCATCTGTCTAAGTCACCTTCGTGTGTACCACTGTGGAGGTGCCACAGTCCATGCCAGCGGTCCTGAGCAGGCAGGCCAGCCCTTGCTGGGACTTGTTATCTGCTTGCTGTTGCTCAGGGATTCTTTGATTTCCCAATGCAGGAGCTGGAGTCGTGTGGCTGGATGTGTATAAATTGCCCAGGGAGGCATGGCTGAAGGAGGTGGAGCCCCTACCACTCGCTCTGAACCCAAAGAAAAAAGTCAGACAGCTGGTAGGAAACATCCCTGTGTCCTTGACACAGTTCTCCCTGCCCTGGACCCCTAGCAGCCCAAATCCTCTGCAATTCCAAGACAAATGAGGCTTCTGGAGATGCTGAGAGGAAAGCAGGAGCCATGACTCATGTCTCCAAAATTGATTTGCTTTGGATAAAATTTTTTATCTTTTATTTTGGTACTGGGGATCGAACTCAGGTCCTTGAGCTTGTGCAGCAGGCGGCGAAACCACTGAGCTAAATCCCTGGCCCTGGATAAAATTTTTTAAAGTAGAGAAAAGTCCAGCATTGGGAAGCCCAGGTTCTCCATCTGCGGAGACCCCATCCGATATTTCTCTGGAAGGAGGATCTTTCTCTATGATCCCTGCCCCATAGCTAGTATTTCCTCTCCTAGGTTGAAATAATCATTTAATGCCTTGAATTGCACTAAATTTCCCAGACTATGCTATAAAGGGAGTGTTCTTAATGTATGGGAATAAGTATGGTTGTCTATATTCATCTGAGAAGGTAGGAACACTACCATTTCAGCCCGATTACACAATGCCCAAGCCTCATGCTGTGTCTGCAGGATACAGTTCCTCAGTAAAGATTAAGACTTAATTTGCCTATTTATACAATGTGCACTTATTATTTTTCTTTCCTTTTAACCACCAACAATTAACATTAACGAGCACCCCTTTAAAATATGTTGTATCTTGCCAGACGTGGTGGTGCATGTCTGTAATCTCAGCACTCTGGGAGTCTAAGGCAGGAGGATTGCAAATTTGAGGCCAGCCCGGGCAATTTAGCAAGACCCTCTTTCAAAAAATAAAAAAGGGAATGGGGGTGTAGCTCAGTGCAAAGGCCCTGAGTTCAGGCCAGAACCAAAAACCAAACCAAATCACATTGTATCAGGTACAAAGATGCAATTGTATTATCGGTACAGGAGATGGAGGGAGAGGCCCACGTTCATTGCTGGTGACTCCCAGAGTGCTCTGGGCACAGGCCTCCTGCCCTGGAATGTCTTTAGAGGGGGGAGCAGGCCTGTGTCCCCACAGCTTCCTTCTCCAAATGCTTACAGAGTTTAGCTTTTGGCCTTCTTTTCTGACACTTATCACATACTTCCTTGGTTTTTAACATACTGTTATGCATGAAAGTCCCTTTGTCTTAACTGGATGGTGAATTTCTGGATTAAGGGCAGACTTTCTGCCTTTTTCTCATTATGGTAGCATAGTCAGTGCCCAACTGACAGATTTTTTTTTTTTTTTCGGTACCATGGGTTGAACCTGGGACCTTGTGCTTGCAAGGCAGGTGGTGGAACCACTGAGCTAAATCCCCGGCCCCATGACAGATGTTTTGATAGACTAATTTATAATCCAAATAGGAAAAGCACCTTGGATTGGGAATGTTATCTCACCATAATTAGCTTTTTTCCCCATACACTAGGAAGTAACCAATTAATGCCTGTTACAACGGTAGTTCTTTAACTATAAATTATATTTATCCAGGCACAGAGGTGCAAGTATGTAATCTCAGCATTCTGAGAGACTGAGACAGGAGGATCTCAAGTTTGAGCACAGCCTGGGCAATTTAATGACTCTGTGAAACCCTAATAGAGAGAGAGAGATAGATAGATAGATAGATAGATAGATAGATAGATAGATAGATAGATAGCTGACAATGTAGCTCAGGGCAAATGCCCTGGGCTCAATCCCCAAAACTGCAAAAAAAAAAAAAAAATATATATATATATATATATATATATATATATATATATTAAAATTGTCAACATTATGACTGTATTTTGCCAATCATAAATATTCACTTCCTGAACATTACAGTGTATACATGTACAGAAACATCACTTAGTACCCTAGAAATATGTCCAATTTTTATGTGTCAAAACCAAAAAAGAAACACTTCAGAGCCAGGTGCAGTAGTGCATGCCTATAATCTCAGCACCCAGGAGGCTGAGGCAGGAAGACTGCCATGAGTTTGAGGCCAGCCTGGACTACATAGTGAGTTCCTAAATTACAGAGCCAGATCCTGTTTCAAAAAAAAAAAAAACTTCAACTTTTACTTTTGCAATAGTGCTCACCTCTATTCATTCAGATTTCCTCTTATTGTCAAGTATTTTTTTCCCCAACTATAGTTTAGGATCCCAGAGAACAAGGACTGTGTGTTAAAATTCTACAGTCCCGAGGACCACCCCAATATCAATCCTCTGGGTCTACTGCAGGGATTCACTTCCCTCAAGAAGAACTGGGAGGGTGAAGGGCACACAGGGAATGGGGAAAAAAATAAGAACTAAGATACATCATGTACAGGTACAAGCACCCAATAATAAATGTAAAACTAAATTGTATACCTAAAATGTACCAATAAAAGAATTTGAAAAAAAGAAGAACTGGGAGGAGAAAGAACATCTGGAACAATCACAGGGGAAGGGGACACATAGCAAACCAATCACGAACTCATTTCTCATTTTTGTCCCCAGAACACTCTTGATCCTACTACTCCAGACAATGTAGACATGGTAAGAAACTTTAAAGAAAATCTTCATAGAAACCTCTGTTACATTTAAAGATTCTTATTTCTAAATATCAAATATATGGGTAAAATGTCCCATCCAAATACTATTTTCGATTCTCTGTGAGTTAATCTCGTGTTTCATGTCACTGAAGTTGGCCTCCTACCCTGGAGGATAAATGACCCTTGCCATGCCCACGGGTGGGTCTGTTGAAGTCAGCGGAGCAAGTACAATTTAGGGGTCCTCACTTCTGGGGCCCCTTTGAAGGCTTTAAGAGGGATCCTAGCAATGGATTCATTTGGTCTTATATTTTTGTACAACTGGCAAAAATAGCATATTTAAGCCATAATCGCTTAAAACCTGTGACTCTTTTCATTCTGACTTCCCTCTGCCACAGTTTCCCCATATTGGATGGTATTAGAGTGGCCATGGGCAATTTGGCTCATAATTTTATAAGCTGTCTTGAGGGTGGAAGATGATCTGAACATTTTGTGTATAAATGTCAACTTCATTCTTTCGGCTATATGGAGTTGGTGGGGGAATCTAAGAGTTTAGATGCTTAGGCTTTGCAGAGAGATTTTTCAACCACTCCTGCTTTCACTGCTCCCACCCGCACAGTAACTTCCAGAGATCCCCGGAACTGCCATTTTCTTACATTGTAGGGAATTTGCAATCTAAATTAGGTGGCTCCTAGGCTGAGTTAGGATCTCTTAGGTAAAGGGTGGCAACCCAATAAAAAAACACAGCCAGTTTGAATTTACGGTTCTGAGCAAGACCTCCCTGGAATAACTCCAAAGGTCAGTCTAAGTCAAATGTATTGTGCTGGGATTTGTATGGATAGGATTGCGGAGGTGGGAGAGTGTGGAACTGGTGAAGCAAGACTAGTAGAGTAGCAACAGCTATATGGCAAAGGCTGACACAGCAGAAGCTAATGTTTTGTTGTTCCAGGATGTGGAGGTGTTGTTTTGGGGCTCAGGTGGCTGAGAACAGCCACTCTGGGACCTTGAGTGGCTGAGGACAAATGAGGTCAGATCTATCACTAACTTTCTTTGTACATTTGTTTTGGGGTTTTTTTTGTGGGGGTTTTTTGGTACTGGGGATTGAACTTGGGACCTTGCGCTTGCGAGGCAGGCACCAGAATCAGCTAAATCCTAGCCCTGTACATTTGTTTTTGTTTGAGATGGGGGTCTCAGTATCTTGCCCAGGTCTTTCTTTTATTTTTTAAAATTTTATTAGCTTTTTTGAGACAGGGTCTCACCGTAGTTCAGGCTGGCCTTGAACTCACTATGTAGTCCAGGCTGGCTTCAAACTCACAGCAATCCTCCTGCCTCAGCCTCCCAAGTGCTGGGATTACAGGTGTGCACCACCACATCTGGCCACCCAGGTCCTTCATGAACCCATAGGCTCAAGCAATCCTCCTGCCTCAGCTTTCCAAGTAGCTGAGACTACAGGTGTGCTACGTTTTGGGACCCACTCATTCATTTAGCCATCTTCTTTCCAGCTTTAAAATTCTGTTGTTTCTATGCCTACTTCAGCAGCATACATACTAAAGTTGGAACAATACAGAGAAGATTAGCATGGCCAGGGTGACACACAAATTCGTAAAATGTTCCATAGTTGTTGTTTTTTTAAGTGTTATTTATGTCTCCACTTTTATTCTGTCAATCTTTATGGTTTTATGATTTTTAAAAAAAATCTTGTCATTTTAATGAGCTTTCAGGAGGGAATGAGTTAAAGGCATGTGTTCATTCTATCACCTATGATTTCTAACTAGTTGTTGCTGGCCTGCTGCCATTTGGGTTTTGAATGTCCTCTAAGTCTCGCTGTTGAAGGTTTTGTCCCAGCTTGGTGTTGTTGGAAGAGGGTGGAGACCTTAAGAGGTAGGTCTAGTGGGCAGTCTTCTGGTCATCAGGGACACCCCTGTGGAAAAGACACTGGGTCCCGGCTTCTTCTTCTGTATTTTTTTATACCTGACCATGAGGTGGGCAGCTTTGTTTTATCTCATGTTCCTGCTTTGAGATGTGGCCACAGGTCCAAAGCCATAGTACCAAGTAGTCATGACTGGACCCGTCAACACTTTAAGCCAAGGCAAACCTTTTTTCCCTGTAACCTGGTTACCTTGGGTGTTTGTTACAGTAGTGGAAAGCTGACACACACAGAGTCCGTGGCTGGATCAGTATTCTTTTTTTTTTTTTGTACCAGGGATCAAATTCAGGATCTTGGGCTTGTCAGACAGGCACTGTGTCTGCTGAGCTACATCCCCAGTCCCTGGATCAGTATTCATCAAGTCCTTATCTCCAGCAAAGAAACTGGAAGAATGTCAAGTTTCCAAAAATGGCAGGAGAGAAGAGCGGTAGGCAGTGAAAATGCTGTAGCCAGGACACCAAAACCATACTGCTGAGTCTCGCCACCCTCACAAGACACAGGCACAACAGTTTATGCCTGACTTTCCATGATTATTCTGCCACCAAGCTCCAGACATGGCCATCTCCACTGGGGATGGCTTCTCATTGTGCATCACAGTGGATCTCTGGGTTCCTCCCTCGAGATTCAAAGCCATAGGTGGGAGAATGCAACTAGCTGAGTCTATGTCATGTACCAACCCTTATCTCCAAGGGACAGCAAGAAGTATCTGGCCTCTCAGTTCCTTAGAAAAAGAGAGCTTCTTCAGGACTTCACGAGAGATTCCTCAAAATGGAAGAGCTGTTTAGGGCTGGGTAGCCAAAAGGATGACAAATGTCCACCACACTGATCCACAGGAAAGTTGTTGATGTTTGTGTATTGGTCTTGTATCTGGCCCCCAGGGCCAAGATTAGAGTGAGGGGACAGATTTTTAAAAGGTAGTCCTAGAGCCATGCCTACAGAGTTGACACCTAAGTATGAGTTCCTCCTTCAGTTTTGCCCCCTTCATTCTCTCATCCTAGTCCCGGTACCACTGACCCTGCTTTCCCCCCAGTACTGGGGATTGGACCCGGGGCCTTCACAGTGAGCTACACCCCCAGCCCTTTTTAAAAATTTTCCTTTTTTTTTTTTTGGTACCAGAGATCGAACTCGGGTCCTTGCGCTTGCGCAGCAGGCGGCGAAACCACTGAGCCAAATCCCCGGACAAATTTTTTCATTTTTAGACTTGGTTTGTCTAAGTCACTAAGTTGCCCATGCTGGGCTTGGACTTGTGATCTTCCCACCTCAGTCTCCCCTCTAGCTGGGATTACAGGCATGTTCTATCAGTGGCCTCTTTACTGAACTTAGTTATTAGTTCTAGTGGTTTTGCAGTTGATAATCTTGGACTTTCTAGATAAATAATTATAATTATAAATACTGATAACTTTTTCCCTTTCAAGTGTTTGTCCCTTGTATCTGTTGTTCTTGCCTTTTTAAATTTTCTAGGAGCGCTAATAAAATGTTGAATAGTAGCAGTGTAATGGGGCATCTATGACCTATTCGTGACAGTGACAGTGAGTGCTTCAAGTGTTTCACTGTTAAATGTGAGGCTTGGAATAGGTTTTTGGGAAAGCTCTTTTATCAAGTTAAAAGTTAAAGCTCCTTTATCAAGTTAAGTTTGTGTCACTCTGGACTTGGTTTGCTAAGAATCTTGTTTTGTTTAAATCAAACAAATACTGACTTTTATCAAATTCTTTTCCCTAATCGATCTCGGGACCTTGTCCTTGCAAGGCAGGCAGTGGAACCACTGAGCTAAATCCCCGGCACCCTAATCTTTGTTAAAAATAAATTTTGGATATGTTATAGATAGTAAAAAAAGGTTAGTAGAGTGAAGCAAAGGAACATATCCACCATCTCAGAGTTATCCTTATTTGGTTTTATACTAAGAGCAGTAAAATCTTTAGCATGACTTCCATGTGCAGTGGTTTCATTACCTAAGTCCTCGTGTATATTAGAGCTCTAAGCTTAGTCCTCCTGCATATCTGCTGCATATCTCACCGTGTCTCTCCTCTCCCTCCCTACCTCATGCCCCAGAACAATTGTAATCACTGTTTTTTCTCTATTTCTGAATGTTTGATTTTTTTAAAATCCCACATGTAAATAAGGCCATTTGCTATGGTTCTATTGTGTTTTGAGTGCCCCCTGAGGGTCTGTTGTGATTGGAGGCTTGGTGCCCAGGGCAACAGAGTTGGGAAGAGCTGTGGAACCTTTAAGAGGTGGAGCCTGGCGGGAGGCCTGTAGGATATTGGGGACATGGCCTGCTCTCAGGAGTGGCTCTTGGGCCACCCCTGGAGAGATTTGGAGGGGGCCAAGCCTGTCCTTCTCCTCTCTGCTCCTGGTGCTAGATGCTATCACTTGCTTCCACACACACTCCTCTCACCATGAGGTGATATCACCAAGGGAAAGGCTTTATTACAGACCCTGTGCTGTGTTGTTTGCGTATTCACCCTCCAGAACTGTGAGCTGAATAAACCTCTTTTCTTCATAAGGAGCTTGTGTCAGGTAATTTGTTACAGTGATGGAAAGCTGATTAATACATCACACAATATTTTTCTGTGTCTGGCTTATTTCATTTAGCATAATGTCCTCTAGGCTTACCCATGCTGTGGCAGATGACAAGATCTTATTCTTTTTAAGGGCTGTAGGATATGACACTGTAGATGCATGCACCCCAGTTTCTTTACCTAGTTGTCTGTTCACAGACTTTTGGGTTGTTTCCATATCCTGGCTATTATGAAGACTGTTACAATGAATATGAGTGTGTAGGCATCTTTCTTTCTTTCTTTCTTTCTTTCTTGATTTATTTTTTGTACTGGGGATCGAACTCTGGTCCTTGTGCTTGTACAGCAGGCAGCGAAACCACTGAGCTAAATCCCCGGCCCTGTAGGTGTCTTTAGAAGAAGGTGATTTAATTTCCTTTGGGTATATGCCCA